CGATTGGCAATGCTCAAATTAATGAAGACTGTTGGAGTAATTATTTATAACAAATGGCAGGCGTTTTGATAGTTATCGTTAGCCCTTTAGTTGACTTTGGGCTTCACAGAGGAGAGGGGGGGGGAACATCTAAGTGAGAAGAATTCGGGAGGGGGGAATAGAAGAGTGGTTCACAGATGTAAAAGAAACGGGCAGACAGAAAGGGTAAGATGAGTACTGTGAAAGGGGTCGAATATGACATACAGTTGGGGTGATGGTAGTTTGAAGTGAGGAGTCAACTGCCGGTTAATAGACTTTTTGCCGTATGATTATACTCTGCCCAGGATGCACCACGTGGAGGCAAGTCTATCCCATATCCCGTTGGAGTAACTATACTTTCGTCTATTCCCTGTCTGAATTAGAGGCAACAATGTCAAAACATTTTGGTGGTTAGATGGATCGGAAGCAGAAATAAGACTTCCTGTCGTTATGCCAGTGCTTGGAGAATCTTCCTTTGTACAGTAATTGTTGCGGTTCATGACTCTCTCGCACAAGAGTGATCGCATTCTACAACTCTCGAGTCTTTGTAAGAAGCCTTCTGCAGCACTCATTATCGGGGAACAGTATCATAGTCCTCCAGCTGATGGACATGAATTCTGCTGCCTTTGGCCAACGGACATAATATTGCACGTCATGCAGCTCTTTATACAATGAATGGGATGAGTTCCCTATGGCGACCGCACACAATGGCACAAAGTTTTGTCATGACGGGGCGGGGGTAAAAAGATTTACGTTGTGAAATAAACTGGAATGCACTCAGATGATAGATGTGACAATTGGGTGAATGGAGACTCCTTGTTGTGACTCCCTAACACAAGATGAGCGTTGGAAAACGCTTCCCTGAACTGACTTCGAAAGAATTATTATCAGATTCCTTTATCTAACATCCACAAGGGTACAAAAATTGAGTAATAATATTTGTTACGAAAATTTGTATAGACAAAGATCGACATTATTTAATCAGCTAGGAGAACCTGATGAATAATTTATTCAATCCAAGCAGTTTCATGAACAGCCTCACGCACCTTTCATTAGAAATAAGTCAAATAGTTCGTGTTCTTAGAGAGACTCAAGCAGGTATACGTTTTGTTACTTCAATACCTTTAAGTAATCCTACCCCGGAATTGGCTCCCTGCTTATGTCTTCTATCTGAGGATCCTTCAATCAGCTTCCATCTCCTACCTACTTCATCGTTAGGCCCATCTCTCTCCTATTATTTATTAATGTGCTTTCTTCTTGCACTTTATAGCTCATCAAAGATCAGGTGACCCACTGGTCCTGTCTCGAATACTTTCTAACATTCACTTCAGCCTGCCGGCATTACTGACACTAATCATTTCACTAACTGAATAATGTGATTTCGGCATAAGCAGGCATATACACGTCAAAAAGTAGTACTCTATAGTTATAGGGCATAACAAGTAGTGAATCATGTTAATGAATTCATCATAGGAGACGAAATAGTGGATCTAAGACTCAAAAGGCTCTCTTTGTTACCTTAACATTAACAAAGACACGAGGGAAATCAAACTGCGACTATTAAAATTGCCTTCCTCACCCTCTAGTGGGATCATAAAATGTTACTACTAATGAATACAAATAAAATAAAAACAAGTAAGTCACAAGACAACATTTTAACAAATAATAAAGATAAACACATAATGGAGAAATCAATTCTTTTGACAAAAAAATCATACATTCTCTGAAGCAAAATACAAAAATAGGAATGAGTCAGAATCAAGGAATCGATATATACAGTTCATTACGCTTAGGGGGGAAGGAAGGGGAATTCAAGTTGATCCGACAAAAACACTTTCCCCTTCTTCCGTTTGCACCAGAACGCATTCTTCCACCCATTCTTCAAAAGTCGATTGACAATCAACCTGACAGGAGAAGACCATCAAGGTGGAGAAGTTAAGAGGCCACAGGGCATTAAAAGGGCTTTTAGGCACTTTTGCACTTCTATTTTTCTTAAAATGAAGGTAGTTATTGATTGTGGGGAAGAGCTGAACTTCGAAAACACGCATCCTCTGACACTTGGAACAAAAAAGTTGAGATTCCCACTCATCAGATGGGGGAGCGGACGTGAAAATCGGTCTTCCTTCAAAGGCATATCGAATAGGTTCCAGTCCAGTGGAGGGATCTCGAGAAGCGATATATTGACTATAAAGAGGAGTTAATGCTGTTACACCTTCGATTTTCTCATCTTCTTCAATGAACTCATCTTCTGCCTTGTAATCCAGCACCCAAGAAGGGAGGTTTTCCGTTCGTGATGAATCTTGTACTTCGTCCTCCAAAACAGTGATATAGAAACACTTGAAAGGACTGGCTAGGTTATCTAGAGGACGAGATTTTCTAGTTTCATCTGGAGGAGTCGAAACATGATCCAATTCCATTTTACCCTCTTCTATGTCATCAAAGTCGAAATTCCAATCATTATTGGAAAATACGGAAGTTTTTTCATCCTTCTTTTCTGGTTCGTTAGTAGTGAAACGAAAAACACGAAAGAAACGGCCATTAACTTGGCATTCTCTGTTAGGACAGGTGTAGAAATATAAATTCCGGTTATTATTATCGATTGGGCAATAGAGCTGCAAAACGAAATACATGGGCTCTCCACAAGTAGGACACAATGGAGCAGAGCAGCACATTTCTGAATTAGAAAAAGTTGTCGGAACACCCCCGAGATAACTATCAATAACAGTTGGTTGCTGCTGAGCAGTTTCTTCATCAGGAAACCCACAAAAAACAGTAGCCATGATTGAGCGTATATAAATGCACAGATATATTCTCGATACTGCCAGACAGCTGATAGACACGAGAGAACACCTAACGAATTAATTATCACGCTTACCAATGAGATTTGGTTAATTTAAACGAAAGAAGATTCGTCGAAAAATGTTGACAGAACTCTGAGTGTAAGACTTAATAATCAATTCGAAAGCATCACTCAAGTCACTTTATTCTGACATATTTTATTTTATGAAAAGGCATCGAGTTAATAAACGATCATATCTTTCTGGAACGTGGTATAAGAAAATTATATTTTAAACTCGTAATTCAGGTTTTTACCGTTTCTCATAATTTAAAACATGTATGGTAGCACTTTTATTTTCATTCTTACACTTACTTGCTAGTGAATCAGAATCCAGTTCCCAATATCTTAACTTTTCACATGTTCTTTCAAATAACAAATAGTTCTTAGAAGTCTTGGTTTTATTGCAAATGTGCATAGATTCTGTGAAAACGAAATAGACTAATATCTTCGAAACTTCCTTGCTCCGCTCTTTCCCTTTCGGTACATTCATATCTTTTCTTTTTGATAGACGATTAATTACATAATTTTTGAAATTTCGGTATTGTTGCATGCTCGGATCAATTTCGTTTAGTATTTTATATGTTGCATTATAACTCTATTGTATTCAAAACTATTTTTAAATATATCAGATTAATCCTTCATTTAAACCTTACCTTCCATCAACTTAAGCACCACTATTTCATGTGGAAGATTACTTTATGTATGTACGGTAAAATATCATTATCTGTCAGTTTTTGATCTCTAGCTCTTTAAAAGGCAAGCCTAATCGATGCTGTTGCATATAAATTTTCTTAAAATACATTTTATTTGCATCTTATTCAATTCAATAGAATGGTAAAAGGAAATACTCTCTACAAAAAAATAATACAAAAATCAACTATAGTGAGTTGCTGCAGAAATAAATTAAATGCACTTTTGCCTAAATTTTCGAATCAGAATCTTTACCATATTTTTATTGACGAAAATTTATTGATTTTATCTTTCACCTTAAATTGCTTATCCATTTAAAAGAATTTTCCACTACGTTTTACATTGCTTTCCATATATTTCCTGGCACTTATTAATTTGTAATGTAATATAAGTTTGTTTTTACTAACTGGCATAATTCAGTTGAAAAAATTAATCATTTATCAATTTTTACTCTAAGTTAGCATTTCGCTTAAAATGCCAATAAAGTAATGGGAATTCTAAATCCCCTTATTAGCATTAAGCAGTCATTGCAACCATATTCAAACAAGGCTAATACATCATAATGATAGGAAAGCAAATTAGGAAGTCCTCAAATCAAACCTCATTGCCATGTTGTTTATGTTTTTCAACTTGACATCAATTTGGGTCCAATATTTTATCAATTGACAATAAGAGGACAATATGAATCACACAAAGATTACTTTAAGTTGACTGGAGTCCTGACTTATCTCACCGAGTGCAGACATCTGACATGACAGTGAATACAATCGATAGAAATGTCACCTTCTAGCACTCTTAATAGCATAGAAGTGCCTTGATTAACGAAAAATGATTCCATTGAACGCATCACTTTGGTTTTATGCAACAGGTTTTAAAAATGACTTCATGTACACACAGTCGTTATATAACGCTATTAAAACTCTAACTATTGTGGCGTTCGCATACGGTTCTTGAAAGAAGGCATATTTATTTTGATTTCAATGTCTGAAACACGGTAGATCAAAATATACGTTATAGCTCGGACATTTCTCATACCTCTGGAGAGATATAACTCTTATCTTGATTGGTATCTAATTTGAAAAAAACCTTCTTTTGTGTTTGGTTCTGAAGTGATCTTATTTAGGTTTCTGATGCTTCTTCACACTCCACTTCCTGGAGTAAAAAGGTCATATCATATCCCATTCATACCTTATGTACACGTGAATCAAAATAAAAAATAGATAGCTCCCTAGGTGGACATTACAGATATAGCGTCAAATTTGATATAATATCACATTTCCATTCAAATCAGTGCAGCAATAAAAGCCTACGATTCACCCTACATGATGCTCCTTTTATCTATCGGTACCTTCCCGTTTCTTCTCATTGCCTTTTGGTGATGTCGTCAGAGTAGAAGCAAATATATTAGCCAATAGCCTTTCCTCTCATGAAGGGTTGATCTTTAGAACCCTAAGTCCTAATCGAAAAATGTAGCGAGCTTGTCAGTCGAGTCTTTATTCTTTCTTTCAATAATGCTTTCCCCCAATATCGTGCAAGATTTCATTTTAGTGATAAGTTTTTTGTGCAACTGCCTAATATCTTAAGCGAAGAGCTCGTACTATTCAATTATTGAGATTGACATACATCATTCGATGTCAGTATGGAACCTCCCAGTAAGCTGACAGAAGGGGGGATAAATGGCATATGGTTTTACGCTAGTATACAGCTCCTTCTAATTTCTTGTGTATGAAACAAGTTGATAAATCTCCATATATAAATAATTTGCAAAGAACATTTCAAGAACCTTATAGTCCTCTGTAAATAGATAGCCTCAAAATCCTTCGAAATTGCTGTTATAAAAATGAGCGCTCAATATTGATGATGTTGGAGTGGATTTGCTTGAACGCAGTCCCCATAAAATTTACGCGAATTAAAATGAGGTCTATATAAGAAAGATAATTTGGTAAAGTTGGTTATGTTTTAACGCACGCAGTTTTCTTGCTTAACTTGAAGAATCTATTGCCGTTCATAAAAAT